TGACCTAATGAAAATCTAGCATGATGCCCTGTTCATTTTTTTTATTTTCTTTTTGGACTGCATCATTATGTTGTAGCCTCCTTAGACAGATAGTTCTTGACCCATCTTGGTAACATCACTGTCCACATTCTGGGTCCTGCACACTCGAACGCTGCGGTTCCATGCCAGTAAATGACCCTGTTTTTTTGTTTTCGTAAACCAGAGTTAATAACAAACATTTCTCAAAATGTACATCATGTAACTTTATTGAATATCAACAGCTGATAACAGCACTGGAACACCTTAAAGAGAGTTACACATAACGTATTAACAGGCGACACTGATGTGGTCCTCCTCGGAAACAGCACTTTGGTACCAAGTTAACCAGTGGCCAGTCTCCGTCCCCTGTGTGTCTGCCGAGCAGCCAATCAGAGCTGAGGAATCGGTAGGCCTGAGTAGATGTGATGAAATTTTGATGGTGCTGCTCCAAACTAGACTGACAATACCTGAATATGGGATCATTAACAGCTTGAGATTTTAGGATTTCCTCAACCATTTTCTTCTCGCAATTTCTCACAAACACTAATCTAATCTTTTTTTTTCTTTTTTAGTTACTTTTGTCAGCCTTCTATCTGTATGTGTGAGTCCAAAATCAAAGATCAAAACCGTTACCTTCAGCGCTTATTCAGTAAGATCTATAGTTTTGATGTCTGTGCCTATGCGATAAACTGATGACTGAACAGGATTTCTCCTGATTGGAGCCTCGGGCACGATGAGACAGAGCTACCAGCCTGAACCAGATCACCTTGAATAGAAAATAACATACATACATACATATACAGTGCTGAACAAATATTCGACCAGCTGTCTAATTTGTTAAGCACTGTCTGTATATAAATAGACCGTCCAGCATCATGAGGTGCTTTAATGCACACTCAGCTCTCAACGTTTTACCATTTTGAACAGGAATGAGGAATTTCAAACTGAATTCGTCTTTTTATAGCCAAATTTGAGCCGGCTCATTGGGCTTCTCTGAGAAGTCAGAAATGAATCAAGCAACCCCTAAAGCTATTTTTTCTGTTCAGAAATGCAAGTAAATAACTAGAATTTGACATCTTAATCAATAAATAATATTTTTTCTGTTTTTTTTTTGTAAAACAATACATTTGAAAATTCCTGGATATCTATAATAATTCTATTTTAACATGAAAATCATCATCATTTCAGTTAAAGAGCTTCTAAATACTTGTGTATTAACCATTACAGAAACATAAGAAATGATTTTGATGATTACCAATGCTGTTCATTTAGGGCAGCTGTGGTATAAACCTTACATTGAGTGGTCTAATACATTTGTTAAGCACTTTGCCATATTAATAATATCAGATAAAACTGTCAGAAAAACAGAGAAATGCCATTTTCTCCAACTTGCAGGTTCTTCAGTGTATGCAAAATATGTAGAGAACACTCTTAAACCAGAACACTGTGGAGTGAGTGTTGACTTCTCTTCCTTTATTAAATGCACTGATCAGAAGATGAAACATGGATGAAGAGATGCAGATGAGTTGGGGTTTCAGATATGGACTGCACAATGCTCAGGTTATTTCTAACGTTTTGTTAGTCTGCGAGAACTCACAGTCCTTAGCTTTCTTGAATCCAAGATCATCTACAGCCTGTAAGTGTTTGAAAAATTCTGTTTTGACTCTGTGCTCCAGCAAGTGAGATCAATCGAGCAATGACTGACCTGCAGCTTTGACATGTGCTGTTAAAAATTACACGTGAATTTTGTGTTTTGCTTGACGAGGCACTGACATCAGTTTTTTTTAAAGTCAGTGTCACAATTGCATCCTGTTGTTGTCCCTCTTAAAGCTGTAGTGTGTGATTCTAGTCCAGTGTACACTGTTTAAGTCACTGTTTCATACTTGTTCTGTTGTCCAACAACAGAAAAGGATCAAATATGTAGATGAAAACCGCTTTATTGGAGTTTAGCTGTTTTAAAATGCAGTTTATATGTGAGTACAGAGGGCAGGAGAGAAGCCAATGGATGTAAAAGACAAATGCTGGCTGAGTTGAGGTTGTACAAGGCACAGTAAGTCCTTTAATAATGGTTTCAAATCCTACTTGAAGTTTCCACCATCTCTAACTGCCCCTCAGCGTTAACAGTTTCCACAGAGCTCTGACGTGTGAGCATACAAACTAATGGTAATGTTAGCCACATCATGCTAACTGAGGATTTTCAGATTGTTTTCCGATCAAAAATAAAAGTGATCCGACTCAGTTCCTTAGATGCTGGCAGTGCATGAAGACTCTTGTGTTCACTCTTGCAGCCAACAGCAGAACATTCAGTGTGTTTTGCTTGTGGCTGAGATGTTTTAGAGTTAACGAAAGAAAAGTAAAGGAGGAAGGATTATAGAAATCTTTAGGCTGAGTACTGCTGGTTCATCAGTTTCTACATAGAAACTGGATAAGACTAACTGGCTTTCAATGCTTGAGGCCTTCTGGTTGAGGGAGGGCTAAAGAAGCAGTGGTATGTTTTTTCACCACGTGGAACCTTTAATAGTCACTCACATGTCTGACTTTGTCTCCCTGCCTGTGTGTCCAGGTGGACTGGGTGCAGTGCGACGGCGGCTGCGACGAGTGGTTCCACCAGGTCTGCGTGGGCGTGTCGTGCGAAATGGCCGAGAACGAGGACTACATCTGCATGGACTGCTCCCGGAAGGCGGCCGGCTTGAGCGGAGGGATGACCGTGGAGGAGGTGGCGGAGGAGAGCGTGGTGGTCCTGTCGACGTCGATGTGCGCCGGCGTCCAGAGCGTGGCCTCGTCGTCGGTCGTGGCTTCCTGGTCCTCCGCTCCTCACTTAAACCCAGCAACTTCACATCAGCAGCAGCAAGAGCCTCAGCAGGGCAGTTAGCGCAGTGAAAAAACAATGGGCCAAGGACTGAGTACCTCACACACAACCCAGAATCCAGTCTTTGAACCTCGGAGAGGAAGATTTTATGATTGTGCTCGTCAGAAGAGAGAAACGAATAACTGTCCGGATTATAAAGCACAAGACAAAACTTCCTCCGAGTGGTTTCAGCAGCAACACATTCTCTTCTCCAAGCACTAAGATGTGCACAGACTCAGTCCTCCTACGACAGTTTTAGATCTAGAAACACCCACCAGCTACTTCCTAGTCCTCCCGTGAACGATAACAAGGCGTTGGTACACTCACTTACAGTCAAACACACACTTATTCCAGCTGTTGTATTCAGTGCAAACTGCTCCCTTCTGACAGTAACATCTCAATATGTAGGACTCAAGACTAGGATAAACAAATGGTTGTAATGTAGTGGAATTATTTATAATGTACATAGCTTTTAAGCAATTAAACAAATGGATTGTGGCTTTTTGTTTTGTTTTCTCACCTTTAATAAACTATTCCTAGTCAAATAATTGATAATTGCATTTTTTTTCTTCTGAACTCTTTGTTTTATCTTATAGAGGGAGAGAGGACAGAAATGAAGAAATAATACCACGTATGATAAAGAATTTGTAGTTTTTGTGTCATTAACTTGCCTGAAATTGCGAGAAATTGAGCCATGAATCATCCAACAGACTCGGCAGTGACTTACGACTCACCGTATTGAGAAGTTGATTGAATTCCAAGTTGTAAGTTAAGCTTCACATTACCTGTGTTACTCATTAGCTCCATTAGAGGAGAGATGTGATGGCATGTGATGTCTGCGAGTTTCACTATGTGGACTACCAAGTTGGAATTCAATTATATAAGTGTTTCCCCTCTGCTTGACACAAAATGTATTAAGGTTTTCTTTTTTGATGCCTCACATACAGTATTTTCCTACATACTTAAATACAGTTCTGCTGCAGAAATAGACGGGATGGCAGGATTGTGGGCGGAGCCAGGGGCTTGCTCTGATGTCCGCTCGGCCGAGTCGAATCCGGTGTGAACTGACCTCAGCTGCTTCAGCCTCCATCTAAGTGACTCACCTCCGACACCGTGGCAGGAAGAGAAAGTTGGAAATGTGCACCCACAAGGAGCTGCGAGGCATCAGCGAAATAAACCGCAATGAGATGCAGCGTATTACATAACTTGTGCATTGTAATCGCATGCCATTACATCTTCACCACCTGTTGTGTTATTGTCACTGATGCACTGAGGGACCAAAAATGCAGCTTTTAGTTTCTAGCAAGCAGTTGGTGATTATTTCTTTGGTGATTCCTTGTGTCAAACCTTCCTGAGTCACTCCTAAGCATGAATACAGTTAATTTAACATTTATTTCAGTGTGTGCACAATCCTGGGTGACTCCATTCAGTCACAATTTCTCTGTACTATTTTATTTAATGGTTTTTTAAAAAGGTGAATCCTGTTCATATCAAAGTTATGTCATTTCAGTTGTTTGTCTACAGAAAGCACATACTGGTGTACGTAATCATATTTTTATTGCATTTTTTTTGCATTGTTTCTTTAGCAGAGGTTCACTGCAGTGTAAAAAAAAAAGAAAAAAGAACAGGAGACTGGAGTGGAAGAGGTTGGAGGTGATGTACTTTGCTTGAAGGGGGTCGGACGGAGGCTGGGCTAGGTTTAGCATTACAAACCCCCGCCCCCCTTTCCAGTCATGTTAAATACTAAAACTTGAGCATTTACAGACAAACCTTCACGTACAGTTTCAGCCTTTGAGACAAGACACAGAAGATCAAGTGACACTGCGATGAAAGGTAAGCCATACATGCCAGCCATGTACAGGTACAATGATTATCTTGAGTTTTTAATTTAAAATTTCTTTACATAATTTGTATTTTTCGTGCTTTCATTTAAACTGCATTGCCGTTGAAATATCATCGCTCTGCAGCTGTGACTCCTCGGTGTCTTTGCTTAATTGTATCTCGACATCAGTCAGCCCTCTTGTAACCTGCTGCAATCCTCTTGACTGTCTCCTCCACAGGAGACTCTGCCAAAGCAGGCCTCCCCAACGGCACCAGCCATGCCAAGGAGGTGCTGCCGCTCTCGGAGGAGAAGATGGAGGAGCGAGGCCAGTGGAGCAACAAGCTGGAGTTCATCCTGTCGGTCGCCGGCTCCATCATCGGCCTCGGCAACATGTGGCGCTTCCCTTACCTCTGCTACAAGAACGGAGGAGGTGAGTGGGAGGAACATGTGCCCCTTTCCCGAGCAGTTCTCTATGAATGAACACACAATGACTGAGAGTACATCTAAAACTAACAGCACAAAGATTTGCATATGGAGTATAAATTGTGCAGAATTCAACACTATTCTGGTGTATTGACAGTGAACCACAATGTCTTCAGATGCACAAAATAAGGGGACTGATGACCTTTAAAATTAGATCGTAAAAACTACATATTGTCAGACTTACTGGATCTCAGGCATAAGAACTAAAAAAACCCACATTAATTAACCAAATCAATCCAAATTGGGTTCTTCCTTATGTGCGTTTGGACCTGCTTGTGTAGCTGCTAAATTGGATGCCCCTCTCTTCTGCCTCCGTGGGGTGTTGATGTCAGGGTTCAGGGTCGAGCGGGGTCAGACAGCTGTTGTTGCTTCTTGCTCTCAGCAGCTGTTCCTGCAGAGAGGCGGAAATCTGAGCACGCCAAACATCCTCGGCTAAACGGCGGGACGTCAACACAGAACAAGAAGAAGAAGAGTGGCGGCGGTGGCTTTGGTCAAAATGTAACACGTCTGCATCTCAAGAAAAAAAATCTGTACAGTGATGTACAGTGTACATCATCTTCACTTTGCTTCATGCTTTAAACCAGCTTCATCCTGTTTCAATTAAACATTAATCAGAGGTGAACTGGTGCAGACAGCAGAACACGCAAATTACGAGGGAATCAGACAAAACAAGCATGTTAAAGGTAATAATAAACTGTTGTTGTACTGCAGCTTCTAAAGCTAGAAATAAAAAGTGCTTTGCAAGACAAAAAGTAGCGACAAAATCTTTAAAGAAAACAATAAAACATTGAACAGGGCAAGAATAAAACAGTAGAAAAGATGAAATATGGGCTTTTAAAACTTTTTGACCAGTCAAGGAGAGGAGAGAGGAGTTGCAGTAGTCCATATGGGAGAAAATGAGGGTGCAAATAAGTTGCTCAGCAATATTTTTGGTGAATCCTGGTTTGGCTTTGGTAATATTTCTAAACCAGTCCGACTGAAGTTGAGATTGTGATCAAAAACAACTCCCATGTTTCTGGCTGAAACTTCATGTTCATTGTTTGTGGTCCAAGGTCAGGTGAGAGTGATGCTGCTCAAAATATGATCCGAACCAACAATGAGTCTCAACTGTGTTAAACGGCAAGAAATTATTGACAAACAGCTGGGAGTCATCGGCGTAACTTGTTAAAAAAATGTGGCCAAAATTTAACAGATATAAACTGAACAAAATGGGGCCGAGGATTGAGCCCTGTGGCACCTCACAGGACATGAGGGCAGCTGAAGAACTCCAGTTGAAAACAGTAACTTTGAATGTTCTGTTTGATAAGACTTATGAAAACCAGTTCAGAGCAGTTCCAGCAAGGCCAACCTAGAACATTCTATAATCAAGAGTGTCGAAAGCTGCACTTAGACGCAACAAAATGAGAATTTTCTGTGCAGTGATAGCTGCTAAAGCAAGACTGGAATTTGTCGAATGTGTGTTTTCTTTCATTATTTCTTGAAATTACTTCTTTTTTCACTTTTTTTCCTAAAATGTAATCCTGAATCATCTGCTCTTTCTCAACTCAGGTGCCTTCCTCATCCCGTACCTGATCTTCCTGTTCACCTGTGGTGTTCCTGTCTTCTTCCTGGAGACAGCGCTGGGTCAGTTCACCAGCGAGGGAGGCATCACCTGCTGGAGGAAAATCAGTCCCTTGTTTGAAGGCAAGGAGAAGAGAATCTTTTGTTATTTATAAAATATAGTGTGATCGGGACGATTAATGATTGAATGTTGTTAAAATGTCCTTTGTGCAGGTCTTGGCTACGGCACCCAGGTGATCGTGACTCTGTTAAACTTCTACTACATCATCGTTCTGGCCTGGGGGATTTTCTACTTGTCTTACTCCTTTTCTTGGGATCTGGCCTGGTCATCCTGCAACAACACGTGGAACACAGGTAACAAGTTAAATTACAACCTGTTCAGTGTTTTTCCACACTTTTGAGGATTTCTATTTTTAATCTCAACAGTCGTCATTCTGTCCCCACAGAAAACTGCGTGGAGTTTCAGAGAAGAAACACCTCCATCAACCAAACGATCGACCTGAACGCCACCTCTCCCGTCATGGAGTTCTGGGAGTGAGTTTTCACACCGGCGAAGCTCCTCTTCATGGTACAGCGACGCCGGTCTGATGGTGTAAATGACCTTCTTTTCCCGTCCCCCCCTGTAGGAGACGAGTGCTGAGGATTTCCCCGGGCCTCGACCACATGGGCACTCTGAACTGGGACCTGGCCTTGTGTCTGCTCATCGCCTGGGTCATGTGCTACTTCTGCATCTGGAAGGGGGTGAAGTCCACGGGAAAGGTGGGCGAGAGGGGACTGAAAATACCAGGCGACCCTTTTTTTTTTGTTTTAATGTTTATTTCTTTAACCCGAAGACAGTTTTAGGGTACATGAGGGATGACATCTGGTATTTATTTTGCCGTGTTTCTTCTTACACCCCTGTCCCCTGTCGATATAGGTGGTCTACTTCACCGCGACCTTCCCCTATCTGATGCTGATCGTGCTGTTGATCCGAGGACTCACCCTGCCTGGTGCTGGAATCGGCATCCAGTTCTACCTTTACCCCGACTTAGGCCGACTGTCGGACCCTCAGGTACCATCATCTCATAAATCGATTAATGTCATCAAAAGGAATCTGGAATGTGATCGCGAATTCCCAGTGAGGTCCTTTTTTGGTGTTCTGCCCCCCTGTGGCGAGGTAACACCAAGAGCAGGTATCCCATGGCTCTCCGCTGGAGATCCTAGTTTCTGCTGGGTCCATCTGCTCTCCATTAAAGAGGAAGGGACTGCAGGGATCAAATGCAAGGCCAGGACACCACTGGGACTGTAAACATGAGCTGTACCAGGCCTGAGATGCAGACAGACAGCTAACAAGGGCTTCAAGAGAGTTTTAACTGGCTCTGTTCGGCTCATGCTAGCAAAGGTTAAAAACCAGGGAGGCTCTGTCCGCTCAAAATATTTTGTAATTTTGTGTTGTCTGGTTTAGTCGTGTCCCAGAACGATGTCAAAGTCATTCTAAAAGACCACCTGATTTGAAACTATGCTTAATTTGCTAATCGATATGCATTCGACACATCCTGTACGTATGTCCTTTGTTAATAAATGTTGAGGCAACAAAACCAGACCTTCAACTACTGTACAACTGCATCAGTCAATGATTACGTATGTAAAAACGCAGCACGTGAATCCCTCTGGATTATGGAAACACGACACGTCACGTTTGAGGCTGTCGACCCTCGTGAGTGTGCCCTAGTATGTTGTATGGAATTTAGTGTTGCGTCAAAGGCTTGTGCGCCATCACTGATTGGAAGCTTGCGGCGGTTTGTTCGGCTAATGTAGCTCAAATTTAAGGAAAATATCCCAGACACATGCATTAAGTATAAAAACGGGAACTTTTTTTTAATTGTATGTGGGAATGTGAGAAGATTACTAAATTCTGGATGGAGGAAACAGTGGCTCCATGAGACGTTTTCTTGAATACCAATTGAGAAAGTCACTTTTATTTTGAAGGATTAAAGATGGATTACACATGGGAACCATTTGTTCTCTTTAATGAAAGAATAAATGTGTTTGCAGTGTTTTTTGGAGTTTTTGAATGGGTGTAAGCAGAGAGAAGAATAGCCTTTTTTCTCTTTTTATTTTTAATTTATTGCTTTATTTTACATTTCACATCCAAAATTCGATTATTTGTTGGTTACATTTTTCAGTATTGTCCAGTTAATGTTTGATGATTTTACCTACTATTGTTGAAAATCAGTAAAACATCAATCACACAGATTAGAATTCAAACATGTGAATGAGTCTTTATTATCTGTTTCGTCTCAGGTGTGGATGGATGCCGGCACTCAGATCTTCTTCTCTTACGCCATCTGTCTGGGGTCTCTGACTGCTCTGGGCAGCTACAACAAATATAACAACAACTGCTACAAGTATGTAAGCGATGCAACATTTATTATTTGAGCACATGCTCAAACAGACTCAAGTTTCTTTTTAAGATTACATGAAAAAGTAATTCTGCAAACCAAAGACTTAACCTAGAAATCTACTCATTTGGATTCAAAGCAGCTATCATCTGTTCACCAACATAAGCCTCGTCATGAGCTGTTATGATTAGAGTCAACTTTACTGTCGTTGCACAGAGTACAAGAGACAATGAAATGCAGTTTAACATCTCATCAGATGTGCAAAAGAGGCAGCAAAAGTGCATTATGTGCAGCATGAATGTTACAGTATAAACAGAACAAACCAGTATGAACAGTGGTAGGAATACATTAAGTATATATAATTGCTGTAGGCAACAATATGAAGATAGATAAATGTGAATATACAAGCAGGAATAAATAGCGGTATGAGCAGTATAAACAGTATGAGATCTATGCAGAATATCTACTGTATTAATTGTGCAAACACTGTGACTATGACAACAGGAAGCATTAAGATACGACAACCTGCATGAACCTGATGTTGGAGAACATTAATCTAAATACTGTGCTCTCTGTTGCAGGGATTGTTTGGCTCTCTGCTTCCTGAACAGCGGCACCAGTTTCGTGGCCGGCTTTGCAATCTTCTCCATCCTGGGTTTCATGGCTTATGAACAGAACGTTCCCATCTCAGAAGTGGCAGAATCTGGTGAGTGACAACAGCAGAATATAGACGGTGATTTGTTTTAATTCTCAGATCAGTTTGAGCTTTCAGCCTACAATATCTCCCTCGTCTCTGTGCAGGTCCTGGACTGGCCTTCATCGCCTACCCCCGAGCTGTGTCCATGATGCCTTTCTCTCCTTTGTGGGCCGCCCTCTTCTTCATCATGATCGTCTTTCTGGGGCTGGACAGCCAGGTAGGAAGCGGCTCACTGTTTTTAACCCCAGTTTCTGCCTTTTTTTATTTTTTTTGCCTCCTTTCATATTGCTACTTACGTTGGGATAATTTTTCTCTGCAATGTAAAGTCTTGCACCTGTATGGAAACAGCACAAGAAGCTAGAAGTCAAGAGACCTCAGAAATGTCCTTTGTGCATTATGACACACTTATAATGAATAACAGATATAAACTGAACAAAATGGGGCCGAGGATTGAGCCCTGTGGAACCTCACAGGAATGAAAAAATAGAAACAAAGTTGAATTTCCTCAAATATTTATTTTACATAAAAAACTGAAAAATCCTGGACTCAACCTGTTTCATGGTGCCCACAGGTGGAAAAAAAAGAGGCAGCTCTATGCACTTAAGATATTTGAGTATCTCCTTTTGTAATTAGTTTCCTATCTGCTCTCTACAAACACAGCATGCAGTGCAGCCTCGTACGGATAAAAAGTCCCAAGATTTTTGTCACATGACTGCTGGTCACACCTGAATCAATAGTGGTTTCTCAGTTGTACCAAACAGTTCAGAATTTTTTTGCTTTTTTACAGAATCTGTTTAGAGGGAGCGATTTATATTTGGTAAAGGAGAGTAAACAGATTTCGATTAAACATCACAAAGCAGCAGGTTACATGAGTAGTGGAAAGACAAAGTTAAATATGCAACGACTCCTTTGTTTTGTTTTGTTTTTAAAGTTTCTGGTTCTGTTAAATAGTTACTTTGTCAAGTTTTAAACAGATATAAATGCTTTTTTGGAAGGTTTTGGGGTTAAGAAGTTTAATTACAAAATGCTACTTTTGTAAATTTTAATTTTCCTATAATGGCACATGATTGAAAAAATATTTTTTCTTTTATATTGATGAGTTGAATTGTTGGTCTATGATCAAAGCTTATTGTAGCTGTCACAAATTCTTCTAATATCATATATTTAATTACTTCCCCCTCCCGTCCTGCTCTTCTGTGCCCTCCGTCCCCTCAGTTTGTGTGTGTTGAGAGCCTTGTGACAGCGATAGTCGACATGTATCCCGCCGTGTTTCGACGTAAGAACCGCAGGGAGCTCTTCCTGTTGGCCGTGGCCCTCTTCTCCTTCCTCATGGGCCTCATCATGCTGATGGAGGTAGGGGGTCACACTCTGGGACCACACAGATGCACACTGCACATACACAAACACATGCCAAAGAGCTGCAAGCACAAAACCTAGTGTTGCTGCAGGATTTCTCGTAGTAAAGATGACACTCTTTGGGCCTTAAATGTGTCTCCCTCGTTGCCTTAAATTAATTCATGGTGCCACATTTGCTGTGACAGCCGGAGCCCAAACCAAAATTAGTTTCATATTCAACCAACCAGGCTGTTGCTTGGTTTGTGGGCTGCACCTGGTGGTCAGATGCTGTTTTCTGCTGAAGTAAACTCTCATTAGAGTTTAACATAGTTGGCATGGTTTCACCTCTGCACAGCTGGAAACATGAAGGCTCTGCAGAGGTGTCAACAAGTCATCATTTTGTAAGTACAAAGCCTTTGTGCAACACTTCTCAGGTAAGTCTCCAGCATTGTTACGCAACGCTGAAGTAAGTAAGTTACTGAGCATACACACTGTATATAGTTGCCATTATGTAATGTAATGTGCAGCTTTAAAGGCTACCACACATTTTTACTGTATGTGGCTGTAACACAGCGTAGCAGCATAACTTCAGTAAACCTGCTGAAGCCAAATTAAATGATTCCGCAGCTCTGACATCTTATATTCCATCTATACTTTGCTTTATCAGCTGCCTTTTGCTGTCTTTACTTCTTCTGGAAACAATATGTGAATGTGGACATTTTACATGGATGCACTGTTTCTGTGGACCATAAATATTTGCGTTATTTGAATTAAATTGTCTTTTTAAGTCTGCAAATTCAAACTTAGCATTGGGTAACATGACTTTTAATAATAACTTGTTCTATTACAAGATTATCTGCTAATAAAAAGTAGCTTGTAACTGATAAAAATTGCTCATTAGATTACTTTTGTCATGTAACAAAATGAACAGGACTTCCCACTTCCTTGTACATGTTGGTTATGTTGTCCAGAGGGCGTGAGAATGTACTGACCTTTGAGTGTACGCACTCTACCTCATTGCATAGCTTCGTTTACAGCCCATAATCTGTAACCCTGCAGGCTAATAACAGATGCAAAATCATCTGTACAGCTATTTATTAACATAGTCATAATAACCTTCAAATGGACAAGGTGGGGCTTAATGTGAATTCTTACAACATGTCATTGTGTCATTTGACTCCAGGGAAATGGTTTAATTACTAGACATGCATGAAAGTGAACACACTGAACATGCAAATGGCCTTCTTTTCTGACTTCGATGAAAAGTTTTAAAACTTATTTCTGTTGCTATGTTTGGAAAAGGTTTTGTTTTGTTATGCAAAAAAAAGAAGCAGGAAAATTGAGCACATTTTTAACAATAATAAATTACTTGATCACTTGAATTGCAAAACTAATGCTTTACATTACTTGTTCCAACAAAAAGGTAATCTGAGTAGTGTGATAAGTTACTTTGTAACCCCCAGTATCGGTCAGACTCCTGCAAGTTAAGTCAGAAGTTGTTAGATTTTCTTTAATCGCATGCAAAGTTAGGAAAATTGTGAGTCTCATAATATGTATATGTTATATACCTTCCTGTTCATTTTGTTTCTTTATTTTTACGTGTATTTTTATGTTAAGATTCTTGTATATGGCAAAAACTACTGGACAGAAAGTGACAATCAATACTTTAAATAAGCCCAGAAGTGTATAAAGACCTTTTAAATTAGTAACGCTACAAATATAATGAGAAAAATAAAAAATTAATTATAAAAAAAAATGTAAAAAATTGAAGAAAAATATCACAAAATTAAAATCCAAACTTAATAGAACCTACAGATTGGGATGTGTTTTCCTCATGCTCAGATATCAGTCTACCAAGCAGACAGAAAATTCACATTAAATTAAATGTAACATAATTAACGATGGTTGTATAACCGTAATGTTCACAATTCAACTTTTTTTCAAAAAACTTGTCCTGTTGCAGTTTGACTGTGAAAGTAATCAACTAATTCTGTATAATTCACTTTCTAGTAAAGACTTTCCTACTGGCTGCACTTCGAAAATTTGTAAATCGAAAAGAAAATCTGCAATAGAAAACTAATATTAGAAGCAGCTTTTCTGATGCCAAGATCTGTAGCTTAAAAGGGACGTCCAAGCAAAATATTTTGTTCAAAATCTTATAAACTTCCTGCCAAAGAGACCAAAATATACGACTGTGATTTGCCTCAGAAAGCCCACAGTGTCTCCAACACTTAGAAAATGTGTTTGTTTTGAGCTGTTGTAATGAAATATCTCATGTCTTCCTTTGTTTGTGTGTGTGTGGCTGGACAACACACAGACAAGTGGTTTGTTAGATTATTTTAATTAACTGTCAATCTGCTTTGTGAGAAATGTGTGGGAGGTTAATTATCTTTGCATAATTACAACTCGATGCTTTCTCCGTCTCCAGGGGGGCATGTACGTCTTCCAGCTCTTTGATTATTATGCAGCCAGTGGCATGTGTCTCCTCTTCATGTCCATCTTTGAGACCGTCTGCATTGCCTGGGTCTACGGTGAGCACAATACGACGTCAGGCTTTCTTGTATTTCTGACAGCGGAGACGTGCTGCCTGTTTGAGTTTGAAGGCAAAGCACAGCCAGACATGCTTTTATTTTGTTTTTCCAGGTGCGGATCGCTTCTACGACAACATCGAGGACATGATTGGTTACCGGCCCGGACCTTACATCAAGTACTGCTGGTTGTTCTTCAGTCCAGCCACCTGCATTGTGAGCCTCCGTCCCTTTACTCATTTTATTCTCCAATAAACCGCTTTTCAGTGGAGTTTTTGTTCATCAACACTCGTTAACTCGTCCCTGCAGGGTACCTTCGCCTTCTCCCTCATTAAATACACTCCTCTGAAGTACAACAACGAGTACGTGTATCCGTGGTGGGGTTATGTGATCGGCTGGCTGCTCGCTCTCTCCTCCATGGTCTGCATCCCGCTTTGGATGGTGTACAAGATCAGCACCACCCAGGGAACTCTCAAGGAGGCATGTTGACCCTCATTTTAATGGCATATTTCAATTTAGAGCACACAAATAAGTTGCAAAAGATCAACTCTTCAATAAAGAGGATTTGTGCCCCTCTGAGCGTGCTCTTGATTTCAACCATAGATGCTCTAGACTGCAGCTAATTAACTGTATTTTTATTTTTTATTTTTTACAGCGCATCCAGTTGCTCATCACACCATCTGACGATTTACCCAAAACCAAGAGGGAGCAGGAGCAGTTACTGGCCATCTTCGCTCCTGAGACCGATGCCGCCAAAGCTACAAACGGCTACTTCCCCGTCTCGGACACAGATGCCAACTTATGAGGCCTCGGCGGCAACGTGCACGAGACCCCCTGCGTGGGTTTTTCATCTTTGACTTGCTGAAAGATCTCTGCAAGAAAGTACCACATTATACACTTTAATACATAACAGAAACGGAGGACTCAGGAGATAATACAGTGTGCTGGGTTTGGCCTTTTTGTACATTAAGCCATAAAAGAAAGACGAGGAGAAAAAAATAAAAAAGTAGTTTGCCATTTATTGAATTACTTAAAGTGGACGAGGGCATATTTCAGGGACAAAAGTAATTGGCATATACTGTATATAGGATGATGTTTGTACGTAATACAAATATAGTAAAATCAGTGAAGAAAAAAAGAATAGGTTAAGCATTGGATGTTAGTGAAAGGTGGGATACCTGCAGATACAGCAACTTCTTGAAGTTTCTTTATATATATGACACCACTTTATGGCTATTACATCATATTTGTATCATATTGTTGTATTATGATAAATGATTTAGGAGGTTTTTCTGTTGTATTTGCAGGAAATTAGATAAATGGTATATACGTAAATAAATGGACATATAGAATAGCATTATGCTACAGTAGCTGTTGGACTAACTGTAGTTTCGTTTTTGTACTGTAACATATTACGACTGTACAAAGAAATGTGAATCTTGTAAGTATGGTTTTAAATAAAACATTGTATGTTGTCTTGAACCATTTTACTGTTTGTACCTGGGACAAAGTCTGGTGATCTCAAACTCTGCTGATTCAAATTTGACTGTTTGTTTAAAAACCAGTCCCTCAAGTGTCCTACTTTAAAGAAATGTGACACAAAATTACCAGAGAACCCAAAAGCTCAGTTTGCATAATGCACCGATATGCGATTAGTGCTGAAAAAACAGACAAATTCTTTATGAAATGAAGCTCCACATATTCCACACTGACCTCAGGAAGTAGTTTAAAAATGTCGAACGATACAGTGCCCCTCAGTGCACAAAGAAAGATGTAATACCCGAAGAGTTTATATTCAGGATTACAGTTTCTCAGACGTCCAGAAGTCTGTGCAGCCACAATAATGGAGCACTTTCAACCATTTCACAAAATCGCTTCCTATCAGAGAGACAGTTAATGAAAAGACATCAGATGAGCTGCTTTGTGAGAAAATTACACTAGAGACTAAAAGTCTGGATATCTCGACCTCTGCTGCTTCAAATTGGACTTTTTCTTTTAAAATCACTGCACTTTTATGGAAATGTCGAACCCATCTAACTTACTGATCATAGCATGATTTTGTTCATAATCATGCTTTCTTCACATGTTATGACTTTGCAAAAGGTTAGTTTGCACCAACGTGTGATTAGTGCTGATAAAATAAAAAAAACAAACAAACTGTATTTAACTGTAATTACACACTGGCCTCTTGCAGTTTGTTAAAAATGTCAGCTGATACAGAACCTTTGCTGTATAAAGAGCATTCAGTTCAATTAATAGTGCTTTTTTGGCATCAATTTTAAATATACAATATGGCAAAACATCAAACATGTAAAAGATAAAATACAAAACACAGCAAGATAAAGTTAAATAAATCAAAAACAGTACAGACAAGTTGAATAAAGAGTAACACCAATGTTACGTAATAATTAAATAAAAATAAAGAGAGACTAAAACAGCAGAAAAGGACAGAAACAACGAAAAATAAAAACATGTACTTTGTCAAATGAAATGTATTAAATAAAAGTAGTGGAAAAACATAACTGACTCGAGTTTAATTTTTAAAATGGCTACATTTGGGGTAAAGCGAAGAGGAGCTGCTTCCATCGGTGGGCAACAAAACGACTAAATGCTATTTGACATTCAGAGATTTATAAACAAAAAGTAGGAACTTCAATTTAATTTTACATTTAACTGGAATCCAGTAAAGGAATCTAGGATCTGGGATAATGTGTTTTTTTTTAATCTTGGTGTTTTAGCAGCATTTTGAAAGAGGTGCAAATGTCTAATTGTGTAATTAGGAAGGCCTGAAAGAAGTACATTACAGTAAGTGACTCTGCAAGAAACAAAAGCATGAATGAGTTTTTTAAAATCTTGCTTGAATGTAAAAGTTTCTCAGTTTCTTTTAAAGGTGCCATCATGAGGATTTAGTTTCAGGTTTGATGTTGCTGCTAAAATGTAGATGCTTGTCAATGAGATCTGTTAGTTTTTAGAGCTCTGGACTTGATGTAAACACTAAACATGAACCTTCCTTCTTTATTGCCAAATAGTTTTCTTATATTTAGTTGAAGGAAGTTTTGTTAAACATCTTCTGTTTATATAATAATGTGATTGATACTGATTAGTGGTTGGAGAGCAGTGCTGGTCTGAGGTTAATACAAGTTGGATGTTATCTGATCAGTAACAACTGAGGCAATACAGTTATTGAGGGGCTCATGGTTTTATAGGCTGAAATCTCTGAAACTTCTGGGCTTGATTCAAGAAAATCGAAGTGCCTTTTATTAAATTACAGTAATTCATTAATTACATAAATAAATTCTTAATACATTTTCAGTATTACAGTTGCTCAGAGATCCAGAAGCCTTTGCAGCCACAATGATGGAGCACTTTTGAACCATTTTCTAGAATAATTTTACCGCTGGGTGTCATGCTTCTCCAGCACCGCCGCACCATCGCTGATTGGCTGCGACGCCGGCGTCACGCTCTACGTACCTCGGTAACGCCCACTTTCCCGGCATGCAGCGGGTGATGTCTGAGGAAAGATGGCGGAAGGAGGAGCGGCTGATCTGGATACCCAGAGAGGAGAGGTCGCGGCACTATTGAAAACACAGCTAAGAAAGGGGGACACTTGGTAAGACTCGAGCTGAAATCCTTTTAGGGACGCCGCGGGGCTGTCGGCCGGCTCCGCCGAGGCTGTCACCGCCACGGAGGAGGAGAAAGCGGCGGGGACGGGCCGTGTTGACAGTAACTGCAGCCTGTCAGCTTCATGTGTGGCAGCTAGCGGCGGCTAAAGCTAACGCCAGCCGCTAGACTCCAGTGAACAACGACAGACCGCACGTATCGTTTAATTGTTGCACTCCGGTGGTCACATTCACCACTTCCAAATTCCCGTTTCGCCTTTTATCTCATGACACGATCTCAGTGAGACTCCGCGTCGTTTGTCTGATTTGGCTAGTTAGCAGGCTAACAGCTAATCGGCTAGTCTACCGACGCTCCAAGTGGTTCGCCAGTCAGTGGGTTCATCTGTCGACTTCGGCAGGGCGGAGTCGGAAAAGAACCACCTGTCAAAATCACAGAGCCAGCTGGCCAGGCTTGCAGCAACCTGAACTCAACTCGTCGTCAAGAAAGCTACGGTTACACGTATCAGCGTGTGTGATGTTTGCTTCCCAAAGTCAGATTTGTGTAGGGTGCTAAAACCCTCGTCTTAAAGCTTGTTGTAAAAACCTGCACACAACCCCTTGAGCTTGATCTAGTCTGACTAAGAGTGTCACAGCTTCCTTAATCAGAGCTGATGTTGTCCTGGCTGCCTTCCCTGCAGGTACCTTGTGGACAGTCACTGGTTCAAACAGTGGAAGAAATATGTGGGATTTGACAGTTGGGACAAATACCAGATGGGTGACCAGAATGTCTACCCAGGACCTGTTGACAACTCCGGCCTTCTCAGAGGTAAGACAAGTGCTGCTTCATCTCCTTAAGTCATCATTAGAGGTGCATTATAGATACTCCGGTGGAACAGTGTAGTAGTGTAGCTTCTATTCTGGAAGAGTTCAGGGAAAAGGGCACAAAAACAACATTGTCTACCGACTCTATAGGGTAGCCTTTTTGGGGGGTTCATAGAAAGCTCTCCAGCATACCTTTTTCTTTGTGTGTTTTGTGTCCTGTGAGACAGTCAGCGCAGGGTCAGTGGTGTAAGTGTTAACCCACCGATTGTGTTTGCCTGCCTGCTCGTTTCTCACCCTTTCCCTCCCTCTCTTCCTCCCTCCAGACGGGGATGTGTTGGCCATCAAGGAGCACCTCATTGATGAGCTTGACTACATCCTGGTCCCAACAGAAGGCTGGAATAAGCTGGTCAGTTGGTATGGATTGACAGAGGGTCAGGAGCCAATCGCTCGCAAGGTAAGGCTTCAGTCATTAGTATCAAACTGCTGCTGCTGCTGCTTGATGACCGAATCAACATGGTGCTATGAGACGCGGAAAGCTGGCTTTCTGTTTTGAAACGTAGTGGTTGAGATTAGTAGGTGTGGTGTGCAGGGTGGTTTGTGTTGGAGTAAAAGAGGGAAAATGGATGCAGGAATGGAAAGGCACATCTGTACACAGAAACTTAACATCTGGATCTTGATTGTTTCCCAACACTACCAGAAACTTAAGATCTTGATTGTTGTGCATCATTGACTAGCAGAAGTCACGAGCTGATGATAATTGAGGAATATAGTTGTTGATAATGTCTGATATGACTCCACAACTACTCAACAAAACAATAAATAGATGCAACATTTAGTTTAGAGTGGATTCATGTAGCTCTGAGGTTAACCCTGTGAAATGCTGTAGTATATAGGAATTGGTTGGCTTGTTTGGACAGTTAGATGTATGAAATATGCTGTGCACAGACCCTGGAAACAGATAAATTAATACTAACATATTGGATATTTATATGGCTAGAAACTGAAGAAACAATGATGGTGCATTTCATTCATTTCCTTCAGACCTTCATTCATGTTTGTCATGTAATTTGGGTTATTTTAGGGCCAATAAGTACCTATACAAGTGTTGATATGGCACAGAATGGCTGTATGTGTGGTCCCGGTTGATTACTCAGTGGAATTCTTCATGGTGGCCCCCACAACTCAACAGGACCTACAGTATCAAATCCCCACTTTAAATCTCGCCAGTCATGGCATCATGGCTGCTGGAAGCGGCTCTTGTTCCCCCTCTATCATTCTCTTTCCTTCTCCCCCCCACCACCTTTTATCGACCCTCCCCTTTTGCCATGTATGTCGTGGGACGTATCGGGTGGCCGCAGGGTTTCTATTTTCAGGCAACGTTCTGGATGACTGAAAAGCTACATGGAGCGATCTGCGAGACACAACATGCAGGAGGTTCATTATTAGTTTTCTGCTTTTTCTTTGGAAAAAAAGTCTTTGGTTTTTGTGTCATCCTGGGGTGAGGGGTG